TGATATCTTAGATAAAACTATTTGTATGACTGTTTATGGTGTATGCAATGATGCAGAAGTTAGAATAAACATTACAAGTACTACAAGATCTCGTTATTCAAGGTTTGTTTATTATAATTATCGACATGTACGTTGTAGTCGTAGTCGTGAGCACAGTAGGATACCAAAACGATTTCTAAGACGCTTACATAACAAAAGTAGAAAGATAAGATGGGTTGTTTATCATCGAATCTCTCGCAATATTCCCAGATCTTCTGAGTTGCATAACTATATCAACTTCGGAATTGTGATATTAATATTACTGCATATCATGAATTGTCTATCAAACTAGCTATCTATCTTATCAAAAGCGAATTATATAGTAAATATATGGCAAACACGCAAGTGTAAACGAGCCTTACCAAATTCACTACTATTTTATCAACAAGAACCCCGAGTTTGCGCAGTTATGCGTCTAGTTAACATTTAAAAAAAGAACACAAGCCCTCAAAAAATTATGCAGCATATTAAATTAAAATCGCGGAAATGGGTCATGTCTTCGACGCTACTTTTAATCAATCGTTGTATCGAACATACGCGATTAATCCTTTCCGTACGTGCAGGAGTCTAATGGTGAAGAATCTGTCAACTCTGTTCCCCTAACGTTTTTGATCGTATACTTGCAAGGATCAATAAAATTGCTTTGTAATACACTGTAAACTTGGGCAACCGTTATATTGTGGTATATATTCACCCACGAAATACAATTTAACGTAGTAAACACAACTATACATTATTTACTGACTGTAGATCTAATTTTCAGATTTCGCTGTGTACGACTGTTTGGTGAAARTTGCCAAGCTGTACGCACACTTAGTTAGATGCATGAGCACGTTATCAATCGTTGAAATAAAATATTCAGCTGTAAAACGCTATATTTTGTGGTTTTCTTTCCCTTTTTGATCTGCAAAACATGGACCATTTTTCGTACAAAAGAGTGGAATATGCCGCGAATGGATAAGCATTCTTCCCTGAAGATTTGCAACACTATTTGATACGAAAAAGGACATGAAAATTAGACGTATAATCAAATCCTGCTATAATAATAATCGTATTTTTAGGTCACGATGCGCCTAACAATATACTACTAAGAGATTTAAAAAAAAACATATGGAAAGCATGAAAATTAAACATTTCGTTTTTCGATTGAATGTTTTAGTAAAACGCAGCCATGGAAACCTCGTTTCCAGACTCTTTTTCTCTTTGTCACCCCAAACGAACAGAGAAGAGTTTAGTAAGAGTTTGCGCGCACTCCATATGATTGGTTAAGTGCAGTTTATGGGCGCTGGTTMGTTATTAATTGACAAGTGCTCGATGTCTGCATTAGTCTGTATTTTTCTCTCAATACGTTCATAAGCTTGCTTTAAGTTTGAGTGGACTGCATTATGGCATCAAAGGCTGTAATTCTTGTTCTTGGAATCGTTATTTTGGGCGCCAGTCTTCAAGGTAAGAGATTGAGTAAGATTTCAGGAAATCTGGCGCTGCTAGCGCTGAGACAGAAAAAGAATTTGGCGCAATACTGAAAACCGAAGTTGTCAAAGACTTTGAAACTTTGTTAAAGAAAGTCATACTGTTTTTCTTTAAACTACTCGTCTAAGTTAATTAAGTAAAAATTATGAAT